CTCAGGAAGTGCACACATGCTCTGGCAAATTAAGAAAAATAAAAAAAATAAATTTAAAAAAAGGTGGAGGAGGAAAGGAAAGACAAAAGGAGCAGTCTAACTAAGGGCTGATAAAGGATTTTGACTGCTCATGTGGTAAGCTTAACTTTGATAGGTAGTAGGTAGACAATGTTAACTCTTGAATAGGGACTGAATATGATTTCTAAAAATATTTATTTCATGGTTTATGCTACAAATATTACTGAGTAAGTGCTCTCATTACCTTTAAGGTAGTCTGAAACCATGTTATAAGATGCTGTAGGGATGCCTCTGTTTCACTTCTTACATTAGTGAACTCCTCTCTTTTACTACACTTCCAGGCATCAAATATTCTAAATATTTCTTCGGAGTATGTTCCTTCTTTGGCCTGTCCATATACTGCTTCTAAAGAGGTTGACAAATTCTGCAGAAATATAGTTCTGTTTATTAAAATGTATTAATTGCACATTATAATTCAAGTACTGTTAAGACCCAAGAGACAGAAAAGTGGTATGTTGAATACCTAGTCTTGAGAATTTCATAAAGAAAATTTAGAATCATTAGATTGAAGTGAAAACACAAAACTACCTAGGAATTGATTTACTTGGACTATAACAGTAAAAGTTTATTAAGTGGATTAGTTACAAATAAAAAGCTTTGCGGCCAGCAGGTGGTCTAGTGGTTAAGGTGCTGGATTCCCATATGGCCGACCATGATTCAAGTCCCACTGACTTAAAAATGACAACAAATAGGAACCAGCAGGGTAGTGCGGTGGTTGAAGGTGCTGGACTACCACACGGACAATCACAATTTGAGTCCTGGACCTGGCAACTTGCTTGCTTGCTTTCTTACTTTCCCTTTCTCTCTCTGGTCAAATTTTTAAAATAGAATAATGACAAATAAAATTGAATAAATATTTTTTAAATGACAACAAATCAACAGATAAATAAATAAATAAATGTTTGGGTCACATTTTTCAAAGGTATCCCAATCATTAAGTGAAAAATGATAGCATTTATAAATAATTACCAACTGAAGATATCAGGTATAGAGAGGAGAATGGAGGAGAAGGAATTGTTGCGTAGCCATCCCCCCCAGGGGTGACTTCTCGCTTTCTGTCTCGCTGTCTCTCTCTATCCTTCTGGTGAGAGCATGCGCCCTACAGCAAAAACCTCTCAAAAAAAGAAAAGAAAAAAAAGATATTAGGTATAAAAGAAAATCTTTGAAATATAGAGTAGGATAGATTGGCTAAATAGCAGAAGGGACATAATAAGAGAACCAATTAGTGAATTATATTTTTAATTATTTTTTATTTAACTTTAATTATTTATTTATTTTTAATATGACCAGAAAGTACAAAGTGAGGGAGAGAGAGAAAGTTAGAAAGTAAGCTGTCAGGTCCAGGACTCAAACCTCAGTCAGCCATGTAGGAGTCTAGTGCTCTTAACCACCACCCCACCTGCTGACCCCAATTAGTGAACTATCAAATACATAATGAAGTCAAGATTCCCACCAGAAAGACACTGATAGTAATAAAAAGATAAAATAAAATGAATGAATGGTTAAAATATCCAGAGGATGGGGCCAGCAGGTGGCATGGTGGTTAAGGTGCTAGACTCCCACATGACCAATGGCAGTTCAAGTCATGGACCTGGTGGCTTACTTCCTAACGGTCTCTCTTTCATTCTTTCTGTCACTGATAAGCATACATGTCCTCCAGCAAATTAAAAAATAACAATGACAATAAATAAAATTAAATAAATAATTATTCTACAAAATATGCAGAGGATAGAAGAAGTTTAAATATCCACCTAAGAGAAGTACAAGAGTGAGAAAGAAAGTACATGGGGTAATAAGCAGGGATTACCTTAACAAACAATTATCAAATATTTCCTAGAATTAAAGAAATATACAAAGCCTCAGACCAAACCAGCTCATATTAAGTCAAAACTTTTAGTGCAATTTAAGAACAAAGTTAAGATAAAATGTTAAATGTTCTAGAGGTTAAAAAATTAAAAAAAGAATAAAATTAGGTTGACATAAAAAACTATGAAAATAAGGAGACAATGAATTATTATTGTCAAAGGTCACAAAGAAAAATGGCCTTTGAATCTAATTTTAATAGACAGCTAAACAACTGTTTATATACATGATTAAAACAAAGTATCCTGAAACATTTAATATCTTACAAAGTCAATTACATGAAGATCTCTTTAAGAAGACTCTTAGAGAAAATATTCCAACAGAGAAAGCTGAGAGATATTAAATAATTTATGAAATAAAAATAAGAAAATAACTCTAAAGTTTATTTAATTTAGCTAACACACGCAATATCCATAACAATTTGAGAATAAAATCCTAGACAACAACCATGGTCATGTTGATTGGTTTGTGGTAGAAAGATAAAGCAAGGGAAGACACCAAAAGCAGATGAGAATTTCTGAAATATTAAATATGGAAAGTAGAAAAAGAAAATATGATGAGCAGAACACAAAAATAAGTTCTAACAAAATAGTAAATATAAATACATAAATTGATTAGGTTACAAATCAAAAGATATATTAATAGGTTGTAAACAGGGAGTATCTGTGACCAGCAACGGCATGGTGGTTAAGGTGCTGGACTCCAACATGGCTAACTGCAGTTTGAGTCCCAGACCTGGCAGCTTGTTTTCCCACTTCCCTTTCTCTGTCTCTTTCTGCATCTTTCTAGTCAAATTAAAATAAATTAATTAAATTAAATTAATAATTCTTAAAAAAAATTAGAGAGTCCTTTGGAACTCAGCAAAAGCAGTCAAAAGAGGCAAATTTATGGCCATTAGTCCTCACAAGAGAAAAATAAAAGATTGGCAAATAAATAACAACCCATCTTAACAAAATGGAAAAAAATTAAATTAAATTAAAGAAGAAAAGAAATAGTAATGATTAGAATTGAAATAAATAAAATAGAGAATAGAAGAACTATACAAAAGAAAAATGATGAACAAAATTGATAAACCATTAGCTAGATTAATCAAGAAAAAGAGAAAGGAACCAGTAATAAAATCAATAATGAAGTTGGCAATATGACACAGATATATTCAAAATATGAAAAATTATGAGAAAATATGAAGAGCAACTATATGCCAACAAACTGGAAAACCTAGATGAGAGGGACAGATTTCTAGACAAGAACAAGTTACCTGGATTGAATCAGGATTAAGTAGAAAACCTGAATATACCAGTAACATGTGAAGAAGCTGACATAGTGATACTTAGTCTCCCAACAAAGAAGATTTCTGGTCCAGATGGCTTCATTTCTTAATTCTACAAAATTTTTGAAATGATCTAACTTCAATTTTTCTCAAACTAATCCTAAAGATTCAAAACCAAGGAATCCTCCCAAATTTCTCTTATGAAGCCTCTATTACCTCAATACCTAAACCAGACAAGGACATAATTTTAAAAAAAGAAAAAAGAAAAAAGAAAACTACAGACCAATATCCCTGATGAATATTGATACAAAAATTTTCAACAAGATATTAGCAAAAGGAATCCAACAACATATCAAGATTATACACCATGACCAGGTAGGCTTTAACCTGGGATGGAAGGACAGTTCAACATTTGTAAAACAATAAATTAATATACCACATTAACAGAATGAAAGATAAAAATCACATGATTATATCTATAGATGCAGAAAAAGCATCTGAGAAAATATAACATCCCTGCATGATCAAGACTTTCAGCAAAATTGAGGTAGGAGGGATGTTCCTCAACGTAATAAAAGCCATATATGACAGACCTACTGTGAACATCATACTGAATGGGAAAAAACTAAAAGTTTTCCCATTAAAAGTAGAACAGGACAAGGCTGCCTATTCTTTCTACTCCTTTTTAATAGTGTTGGAAGTCCTAGCCAATGCAATCGGACAAGAGAGCAAAATAAAAGATATTCAGATAGGAAAAGAAGTTAAATCGACACTATTTGCAGATAATATGATTATGTACACAGAAAATCCAAATGGATCCATGAAAAAACTCCTAGAAGTAATAAATGAATGCAGTAAAGTTGCAGGATACAAGGTCAATATACAAAAATCTATAGCATATCAACAATGAACAGACTAACACAGAACTAAAGAAAGCAATCCCATTTACAATAGCTACAAAACAAATTAGATACCTAGAAATAAATCTAACCAAATAGGTAAAAGACCTCTACAAGAAAAACTATGAAAAACTGAAAACAGATATTAAAATAGTATGATGGAAAAAAAATGGAAGGACATCCTGTGCCCTTGGATTGGAGAAATCTTAATCAAAATGCCAGTCCTACCCAAATTAATTTATATATTCAGTATGATTCCAATTCAACTACCTGAGCCATTCTTCACAGAAATGGGAAAAAAAATACAAAATTTGTCTGTAATCCAAAAAGACCTCATATTCCCAAGAAAATACTACACCAAAAAAAATAAATAATAAGAATAAAAATAAAAGGAAGCATCTTACTATCCAACTTTAAAGTATATTACAAAGTAGTGATAATCAAAACAGTATGCTACTGGCACAAAAACAGATACACAGACTAATGGAATGGAACAGAGAATCCAGAAATAAGCCTCAAATCATACAGTCAACTGATCTTTAATAAAGGGTATAAGACAATGTAGTGAAGCAAAGTCTTTTTACCAAATAGGGTTGAAAAAACTGGATGTCCATCTGCAGAAAAATGAAACTGGACCCATATCTATCTCTTTTTTTAGGAATTATTTTATTTTATTGTATTTATGATTATTACTTTTTAATTTGACCACAGAGAGACAAAGAGAGAGAGGAAAGTGAGAAAGCAAGCTGCAAGGTCTGAGACTCAAGCCATGGTCACTATGTGGAAGTCCAATACCTTAACCACCACATCATCTGCTAGCCTCACCTCTATTTCTTACCATTAACTAGAATTAACTCAAAATGGATCAAAGATTTAAATAAAAAGCCTCTAACTATAAAACTACTAGTAGAAAACATAGTAGAAATTTTTGAAGACATTGGAGAAGGCCAATATTTCTTAACCCCAGTTACAATGGTTAGGATCAAAAAATATTAAAAATGACAAGTTTGGGTGACACTAGAGTGAAAAGGTAATGTTCTCACACTACTGGTGGGAATGTAAATTAGTTCAACACCTGTGGAAAGCAATATGGAAGTTTCTCAAAAACGTACAGACCTTCCAAATGATACCTACTTCTTGATATTTACCCAAAGGATAGAAAGCACTCAATCGGAAAGACATCTGCACATCCATGTTTATTACAGCATTATTTACAATTGCTAAAACCAATGGAACCAATGTAAGTGTTCAAAATTGATGACTGGTTTGGAAAACTGTGGCACCTACATACTTTGGAATATAATACAGCTCTAAGAAACAATGAGATCCTAT